CTGCCTTTTGTCTGAATGACAGAAGCTTCTCAGTTTCATGAGGTCCCATTTGTTGTTGTTCTTAGTGCCTGTGCTATGGGTGTTCTGAAAGTTTTTTCCTATGACAAGACTATTTCCCTCTTTCTCTGCTTTCAGATTCAGGCTATCTAGTCTTATGTCAAGGTCTTTGACCTATTTAGAATTGAGTTGCATATAGGTTGATAAATATGGATTTATTTTCATTCTTCTACATACAGACAACCCAGTTTGACCAGCACTATTGTTTAAAGATGCTGTCTTTTTTTTTCAGTGTGTTTTTAGCTTCTTTGTTAAAAATCAGGTGACCATAGGCACAGACATACCATTTTTTAAAAATGAGACAGGATAGAGGTGGAGATATACTATCAAACTTTCACTCTGAATTTTCCTCTATACTGGATTATCCAAGTTTGCCTTAATGGAAACTCCTCCTTCTAAACTCAGGCAGAGTGTTGAATATTAGTGGTTTCCAATGGTTTTCTAAAATGTGTAAATGTATTTTCCCAAATAGGATTTTGAAGAGATCTAAAAAGTGAGTGAATTAGGACTGCTAATTTTCCATTGCTGTTACCCTAAAATGTCTCTTTAATGAGACCTGCATTATACTGATTTGTTCTTGTTAGGTTTTTTTCCCCCAAGTTGGCACAAGCTAGAGTCATGGAGGAAGAGGAAACTTCAATTGAGAAAATGCGTCCATCGGATTGACCTTGTAGGCACAGCTTTCAGGCACTTTTGCTTCTTTTTTTAGGATTTATTTTTTGTGCTTTGTCTGTAGGTATTCCTGCAGGCAAGAAGAGGACATTCTGATTGTGAGCTGCCATGTGGTTGCTGGAAATTGAACTCAGGACCTCAGCTAGTGCTTTTTACTGCTGAGCCATCTCTACAATCAGGCACCTTGACTTTTTAAAAATTCATTTATTTTATGTGGATGCTGTTTTCCTGTGTGTATATATATGTGGACCATATGCATGCCTACATAGGCCAGAAGATGTTGTTGTATTTCCTGGGAATACAATTAGGGATGAACCAATGTAGGTGCTAAGTCCTCTGCAAGAGGAAGTGCTCTTAACTACTGAGCAAAGCCTTCAGTCCCTGTGGGCGTTCTTGATTTTAATGATTGATATGAGAGGTTCCTTCCCACTATAGGACCTCTGGGCAGGTGGTCCTAGGTTTTATAAGAATAGCTTGAGAAAACCATGATGAACTGGTGTCAGTGAGCGGGATGACCCCATGCCCCAAGGTTCCCAGAGAAAGAGGGAAACCTACCGCCACAGCCTGCCCTGTCATTTAAATGAGGTTGGTTATAAATGGCAATGAGCATAGTCAATCTCTTTTTAAAGAAAAAAAAAGGGACTAGGATATTGGAATGAATACTTTGCATTGGTATAGATTTCCATTTGTTGATACAACCTTAAGGTCAATTTTGTTATATGTATATGTCTCCTCTTGTTTAGGTATTGTGTTTATACAGATCTTTTACCTATAATAGTCAGAACTTATAATTAGATTAGTTAGGTTTTCTAGATATACAGAGATGTACTTGTGATGGTTAGGTATTCTTCAAACCTTTCAAAGACCTACAGAAATATGGCATTTAAATGGTTTAGGGTTTTTCTTGGCAGTGAGACACAACTGCTCCTGGCACACCAATTATGTCAGAAAGGAGGATTCATTATGGAGTTTTCGTTCAACATGGCAAGATTAGCCATTTGGGCAAGAAACTGCTCTTGCCTGGACTGTTTGTTGCTGTATAAAATGGGCATGCAGGACCCATAAGAAAGTGACTGATGAACTTACAAAACAAGACAGTACTGAAGGGTTCCTGTTGAAATGGAGAAGTGTGCCAGACACACTGTGGCCTATGGGCTGAAGATGGCTGCCCCAACATTACAGAGGAACTTTGGGTGACTGTCCAGGTAGCGGGTGTGTCTGTCAGTTCTAGAGTTTATATAATATCTTTCTGTGGTCTTTGATAGAGTTGAAGACAGATAGTTATGGTTATAGTTTTCTTCAGTTATTATAAAAGATAAGTTATCCTTTTAGACAGAAAAGAGGAGATGATGGGGGAAGTACTTCTGTGTATGTTTATCTTATTGATTGTTAAATAAAATATTGTTTGGCCAATGAGACAGCAAGTTAGACAGGACTAGGAGTCAAAGAGGATTCTGGGAAATGTAGCAGAGAAGTGGTGATCCAGGCAGGAAGAGACATAGCAAAGAGACTCATATTTAAGCGAAGGAGAAACAGGAAGGGTTCCTTTTCCCCTTCACTCTTCCTCCAGTGGTAGGATGTGATCCACCGGCAAGGGAGGATGCCAACAAGGCATTCGATAAGATAAGTCTTATAAAATATATAGGTTTATGATAATTAACACTGAGCTAACAGATGAGAATCCTAGTCATTGGCCAAGCAGCTTTGTACCTAATATGTCTCTGTATTATTTTGTCCATCCACAAGGCGGGCAGAACTTGGGCGGAGACCACCCACGTAGCGGTAGGGCTCAGGTAGCTTTTGGCGGCAAGATTTATCGTAACAATGAACAAGCCAGTAGACAGTGTTTCTCCACCATCTCTGCTTCTGTTCATACTTCTAGGTTCCCACTTTGAGTTTCTGCAGACTTCCCTTCATATCGGACCATAACATGAAATAACCCCCTTTATCCAGTGTTTATCATAGCAACAGGAAGCAAACTAGAACAGAAATTTCTATTTGAACAATATGGTATTGATGTGACAGACCTGGCCATGTATTTGGAACTATGAGCTGGAAAAGCCACTGAGTGTTCAATCGGCTGTTTTGCAGGCACTTGGAAGATAAGAGTGTTAAGGGCAGATGATGGAGTCCTCGCATGTGAAGTTTCAGAGGAAGTAAAGCCTGTCAGGACTATTTGTGTGATGTATTTTGTAAAGATCTCTAGCTTCTGGGTCAGGTGGGCTGCTTTGATTAATTAGAGGCCAGTCACTGAAGTGAAATCTTCAAAGTATCTCTTAGAATCAGCACAAGAACCTGTGGTTCATAAGTGTCTAGGGCTTCATCTCAAGATGGCAGCTGAACTTGGTATTGTGTAAGAATGTTCACAATGGTTTTGGGCACAAGGAAGCTGCAAATCTAAAGGGGTCATGGAGAACAGCTGAGTCTTGGCCCTGTGAGGGCCCTGGAGAGACCACTGGCCAACGTGAGCAGTGGAAGCTCCAGAATTAAAGGAGACCTGGAGAAAGACTGAGGTTTAGAATTAGGTGGCAGGTTTGGAGTCCTTGAATAGAGGCCAGGAGACCATTGGTGAAGGTAAAACAGTGCAGGGGACCCCGGAATATTGGAGATGTAAAAACCAAGGTATGATCATGAACAGCAGCAGATGTGGGGTGGAGCTGGCCTGATCCAATGAGACAAGCAGGTGTGGTACAGATGACCTACAGAGACAGAGAGATGGAGCTGTCCATGCCGTTTGGAGCCTAGAAGATCATGAGTCAATTCATGACATTGAGCATTGAGCTATTTATACTGATGGGTATTGTTTTTGCTTTAATTGTAACTGTGTCTTGGGTCTTCCCTCTTGGAATAAAAAGTATGTAACCTTTATTTTACAGGAGTCAACAGTTGAGAGACTTTGGATTTTTAAAAAGATGCTGAACATTTTAAAGAGACCATTTGAATTTTTAAAAAAAGAATGTGGGATTTTTAATGTTGTATTATGTTTTATATTGCGATATTAACATGAGATCTTGGGAATAAACAAGAAATGACAGGTTATGGTTTAACAGTGACGTATTTATGTGTCATATTGAAAAAGATCAATTTTGCTGGTTTAAAAATTATTTTCATATGGTATATTTTAGTCATATTATGTCCCTGTACCCAACTCCTCCCCACCCAATATAATGTACATGTTCTCCATACCCCCTTCTTCTCATAAAAGCAGGAAAAACAACAAAAAAAAAACAAAAAAATAAGGAAAGGAAGGAAGGAAACCAGGAAGACAAAAATTCCGTGGTTTTTTTATCAGCTTAACACAAACTAGAGTCAGAGGAAGAAGGAATCTTGTGGAGAAAATGCCTCTATCAGATTGGCCTGTATGTAGGTACATCTGTGAGCATTGTCTTGATTAGTGATTGCTGTGGGAGGGTCTAGTCTACTATAGGCAGTGCCACCCCTGGGCATATGGTCCAGGGTTACATAAGAAAGCAGGCTGAGAAAGCCACAAAGAACAAGTAAGCAATGCTTCCTCATGGCTTCTGCTTCAGTTTCTGCCTCCAAGTTCCTGCCTTGAGTTCTTTCTCTGAATTCCCTTCATGATGGACTATAAGCAGTAAGATGAAATAAACCTGTTCATCCCCAAGTTCCTTTTGGTCATAGTCTTTATCTTAGCAATAGAAAGCAAACTAGCATATTGTCCTTTCCACTTTTCTTCATCCTTATTTCTTCCTATTTATCTTTCAAGGCTCAACTCAGTTGGCATTCCTTGAGAGAGATGTTCCTGAACTCCCACCTGAATGTCTTAGGCTATGATCTGTTCCAATTTCTATTTTCACACCTATTCTATTAGGTTACAGTGTGACAAATAGTATGTCAGTGTGTACTTACTTAGCCTAAGGAAGGCTGCTTCAGAAATGCCAATAGATATCTCCTTAAGGATGACCTTTGTTCAGAGAGGAGACCAACCCCATCAAATTATTTGAATATTAAACATTGGAACATGGGCCAGAATGAAAAGGATGGTATAGTATTATCCAATTTAAATTTTTTATTATTACAATATTTTCTATTTTAAAATAGTGGTTATCTACTTATGTATAGGTTTCTGTAGATAAGAATTTATTTGGAAGTTCTATCTCAGCTAAAATACAGAAATGACTTCATGAAAATCAATCCAGTTTATTAATTACACATAAAACAATTTTTCAGACATTATGTATTTATAATAAATGCAAATACTGGGAATTCCTTTCAATTAATTGAAAAAAATAATAATATACTACATATTCTTAAACAACTACAAAAACATTAAAATTCATTTTAAAGTCAATCTTGTTTTCCCATATATGATCATTTATTAAAATAATCACTTGATCTCTAGAAACTTTCAACATTTGTAAGTGTAGTATGCTATTTCTACATCCCTCATTGGTATCTCTTCCCCTTTCTTCTTAGCATTTATTCTTACACTTTCAGTGTTGAACAAGATAGTTATGGCTCTGACTAGTGAACAGTGACTCTGGGTGTGGCCACTGAATGCATAGGTACCTAAATTTATCCTGCAGATTTTGTCAGAGCCGAAAGTCTTCCCTAAAATTGCTCTAGCAGATATTTTTCCTTTTGAAAATACAGCCATTCACACCAAAGTATTTCATCTCAATTCTCTATTCTCTACCATAACTTATAGGGTGCTTGTGACTCTATAGTATTCAGATGCCTCTCACAAATACATATTACTCATAAACTCAAAAGTTACTTTATAATTTTTGCTGTAGAGCAGGTAATGAATATTAAGTCTGTAACTATCCTCATTTTAAAAGGAAAAAAGTAAGTACAAAAAGTGGCTGAGAGCTAGTTAATCACCCCTTACATATGATTTGATGCTTCCAACAAACTTTTGTGAGGTAGACAGAACCAGTATTCTTTTACACATAAATCACAGAGCAGCTTGCTTACAGTGGCACAAATAGAAACTGATTATATTAGCACTTGAATTCTGGTCAGTCCTCTGATTCCCAGCCCAGAGGACCTTTCCTTTTCAAATCACAATGCCTCTTACTATGTTGAACAGGGCAAGGAGGAGCAGAGGAGCAGTCTCTGACAGCACCAACCAAGCTTGACTTGCTCTAGGCACTGTAAATACGATGAAGTGAGTGAATGAATGAACGAATGAGTAAATCCTGGACTTTTTGGAAGACTAATCCATATCTCACCTTGCATTTTGTTCTAAGCAGTCCCAATGTATTTGGTAAATGACAGAGAGGAGCTGTATAATTGTGTAACTATAAAAAGAAGTATGAATGATAGCAGACCAAGGACAAGCTCTGCACCAGCATGTGTAGATAAGCACGCACATCCTTTAGCCTTCAGTGATGTCTATTAAAGAACCATCTTGGATCAGGAGACTGACACCAGTAGACTGCAGGTTCCAGGCTGGCCTGGAGGGACTAGGGAGTCCCTAGTTCAAAAAACAAAAAACAAGAACAACAAAGAGCATTCTTGGCTAAACCAATTAGTATGAAATGGATTTGGGAATTCTGATCTATATGTCCCAACTTGTTTAAAAAGCTAAAAATGATATGTTATAACTCTATTAATTTTTCACTATAAAATTTGGGTTTTCTCTTTAAAAACTGAGCTCTCATTAGCTTTCTTATAAAATTATTTGATTGCTAAAAGGCCTTCATTTCAGGAATGATCTTGCGAAAGAATTTATGTCCTTGGGAATCTGTATTTTCAAATATATAATCTGGAGGAGAAGGATAGCTAGCTGGGCAGATTTCTGGTTTCTTCGGTGTGTACTGTATAGAATACATGGTAACATCATCAAATGGAACCGAACTCTTAACGGCAGCATTTAAAGGTTTGCAGCTCTCTGTTGGAATCAATGCATGTGGCACAAAGTGAGATCTGAAAGTGCTCAAGCCATCAAATTTTCCAGATGGGTTGGGAATCTGTTGCTGCTGCTTAATAAGTCCCTGACGACAACTTTCCCACGCTGGAAAATCTTCTTTCATGGTGCTTTTTCCTTGGAAAGGAAAATTGCTTTTTGTTCTTTGAGAAATGGGCCTGATGGCAACAACACGACTGGCCTGATAGGGAACATAGTCAAGATGGCTGGTGCTGTTTAACTGCATGCTTCCTGGAGGGGGCACATACTCTGTTACTTTCTTGACTTTGGGTGGTGGAATTTCCCATGGTTTGAAACTGTCACGGAATTCAGTGCTTCCTTTAAATGGAGTGTTTTGGGTTACTCTTGTGTAGGCAGGTCTGCAGATTTTTGCAGTTTCTCCAGCAAAACCCTTAAAGTCATTCCGGTGAGTGGTGAGTTCCTCAAAAGGCTGGTGGTCTTGTGTAGGCAGGTCTGCAGATTTTTGCAGTTTCTCCAGCAAAACCCTGAAAGTCATTCCGGTGAGTGGTGAGATCCTCAAAAGGCTGGTCAGCAGGCTTATAAACTTCTTTTGGCCTTGCAAACTTGACTTCTAGCTGGTAAGGCACAAAATCTCGACGATGACTTGTCTCACCATTAAAGGGGCCTACAGAACACTTGATCGCAGAGCAAGGCTTAAAGCTTTGCGTAGGCTTTATCTCCCGGGGAACATAGTCATCCTGAAATGTAGTTGAATTTCCGAATTTCACATCTGGGGTCTGATAAACTTGCTCTGGTTTACACAGTTCACATTTCTGAATATCCCAAGATCTATAATCATCTTGAAAATTAGAACAAACAAAACATTTTTGAATACTGAGGAAAAGGACTTTTTTTTCAAAGAACCCTGACTGTCACTAAACTTCTCACTGTCAACCATCCTCTGATTTCTTTGAGATACACAAACACTAGCAACAACATGATTTCCTCATATTTGTTCTTTTTTTTGTTTTCATCTTTTTTCTGTGCACCTCCCTCTTAAGGACAGTTACTTTTCTACTTCCAGATTTGTCTACAAAGGCATATGGTACACATGAGCCTGACTGTAAAGAGAAAGCTAAATAGTCTATGTTGGGAGTGAAAACAGTATAAAATACACTGGCAATGATTTTCACTATAACTCATAAAATACTAAGGTTACCTATAAAATTCAGGGCTAAGAAGCCTCCAAGAGAAAGACTATGTATCTCATGAACTAGAAAAGTTGCAAGGTCAAAAACATTTACAAGTCAATCAACTTTCTAAGTGCCTTAAAACTTATAGGAATGACCTTCAGGATTCTATTATTGAAAATTAAAAAAAAAACCCAGACTATGTACACAAGTTGCTCAATTTGAAGGGGGAGAAATTTCACATTTCAATTTGATTTTGATCGAAGATACAGGATTGCATGGACTATTGGTCTTTAAAGCATTCCCAAGAGATACAGCAGCATCTAGAGACCAGGAGCCCGAACTGAGTGTGTTCAAAACTGTATGTGCAATTTAGAAATGAACATCAGGGCTGAGATTTGAGAGTTGGAAGTTCAATCCGTACAGATTACTTAAACTATACATGGAAAATTGAAGTATTTATATTTCAGTGAAGGCTTCTTTATTTCTAGACAGAAAAGTACTAACCTGAGCAACATGATAAAATTTACTTCACACCACAAAAGTATTTTAAAACAACAAAAATTAATTTATAAATGACAAGTATTTTACATAATAGATAGTATAATAAGCTTAGAAATATTTATTGCATCCCCCAAAATTTTAAATACCAAAAGTTATTTTATGAAAGGCAAGTATTTTATATATAAGGTAAGATAATAGAATATGAACCAAAGTCTAGGGAATGACTACTGGAATAGTTAATCTCTGAATATTTACTATATGGCCTTCAACTGTGAAGAAAAAATTCTTCATTCATGGATATTCTTGTCAACTTTTAAACTAAATGATTAATCTACTGATGTTCAGTGAGAGTGGAAACCCAGCCAAAGAGCACACAATCTTTAAGTTACAAGTGGCAGGAAAAGATGAACCAGACCAGTACTGTGACCCTAAAATTGAAAAGCAAGAACCAGATGGAAGAACATAAAAGAATGGCATGAGGTAGTGTTGCAGAGTGATGGCAGGTGGAAGCCATATTGTGAAAGACTTGTATAGAAGCAAGGAAATGAGTAACTGGAGAAGGTCAGCTTGTAGGATAGCAACAAGGGAAGATGTATGAATGAAGCAAAGCTGCTATGAGTGGAATCATGTACATGTTAGCTAGAACACTTCCGTACAGTTCCCTCTGTACCTGACAACTTTCCATTTCCAAGTTCACATGAAGCCTCGCCATGAATCTTTTTCTTGAGCTACCATGAAGGGATCTCTGTTCTTTAGGAACTACAGTATAAAATTATAATGCTATTTGCAGTAACTAAAAGGAAATCAGAGATGTTAGTGAAGATCCATATTTCCCAGTTATATTGGGAAAGTCTTTGCTGCCAAAGTAAGAAAAACAATGCTTATTTTAAGTGAATATGCAAATGAATGAGAGAAAGTATTTCCCCATGCTAGAGCAACTGGGGTTTTTAAAAAGGAAACAAGAATCTGGAGGGTGAGAGATAAGTCTCCATAGTATGAGGTAGTATAAGTACTACTTCTTAAGTTTCCAGTCTCAGCATGAGGATTACCACAGAGCAGGCATTGACAAACGTTTTTCTGTAATAGCCAGATAGGAAATGTCTTAGGCTTTGAAGCTTATATACAAGTCTCTAAATGTATGATGCCTACTGCAAATGCAAAATTCTGTCAGTGTACCAAGAATGCAGCAATAGGTAGAATGGAAAAGAATGGGTGGGTCAATTGAATTTTATTTACAAAAAGAAAATTGTGGACTGGACTTGGCCCACAGGCCAAGTTGTTTTCCCTTTTTTTAAAATTTAAAATACAAAATTTTAACAAATCATAGTTCACTTTTGAGTAATTATGTTCTGATTTACATATGCAGTTGTGCACCTTAACAATGGGGACATACTGAGAGATGCATCTTTACAGTTCATTCGCTATGGGGATGTCAGCATTCCAAAGTGCCTATGACCTCACTAGATGACATCATCTTAGTGGACTGTGGTTGTAAAAGCAGTCTTCTGTTGACTGAATTGTTACACAGAATATGACTGAGAAGTAACTACTAAGGTACAGCACATTTCCAATTCTTACCTCTTTTATTTTGTACTTTTATATTTTATAGTTGGTAAAAAAAAAAAAAAACAACCACAACTGATAGCATTTTTGCTTCAGAAAAACACTATATTGTCGTTGCACATTTTTGGGGACTTTTTTCTCTTTATGAAGACCAAGTTTCTGTTGCTTCATATTGCATTTACCTGAAAAATTTCTCTTAAAACTGCATATGACATTGATATTATCTGATATTTTTTTGTTTTTTAGTGTTTATTTTTATTCTCTGACAATTTCATACATGCATACAATGAATTTTAGTCATTTGTATCCCTGACTATCCTCTCTTATTCCTCTTCCCTCTCCTGCTGAGATCTTTCTCCCCAACAAGCACGTCTCCCACAAAATGTTAGGGTAAGATACACAAAACTAAAACCACATCAAGCAATTCATTTACAGGAGCACAGGCAATATTTAGAAGGCAGTTTGACAACAACCATGTCTGATTGGCAAAACAACAGTGTTAAGTTCCCCACTAGGGTCTGTGAGTCATGAGTTCTTGGCCAAGTTTATAGAAACAGACATGAGTCCCCTCCTGAGAGTGGGCCTCAAATCCAATCAGATTATGATTGGCTACTTCCATCATAATAGTGACATCAATACATCTGTGGGCACATCTTGCCTGGAAGGTCAGTATTGTAGTTTTCCAGAGTTCACAGCTGGGTCCAGGGCAGTTGATGGCTTTTTAATCCCAGCAGCCTTCACAGCACTTTGCAGAACTATGAAAAACAGCTAGGAAGGAGGAAGCCTCCGGTTGAGTTTCAGCACGATTTGTCTTGTAACAAAGTATATGGTGTCTTCAGTGAAAATTTTTACCATGAAATTCTGATGGTCAACCAAGAGCAATAGCAATCACTTGTATTGTCTGGAGGACAACTCATAGGGGGGTGTCCTGTACCTAGAACTGGATTTTTCTTTACTAACCTTTCATTTCAGGGAGGAGCGTTATTGATTCGTGCAGGGTACCTCTATGCAAACTTCTTTTTGAAAATTGCCTTTTAATAAGCTTATAAAATAGGCTTCCATGTGGCTTTTTTCTTTTTTCCCATTTTTTATTTAAATTAGAAACAAGATTGCTTTACATGTCAATCTCAGTTCCCTCTCCCTTCCCTCCTCCGCTCCCCACCCACTAACACCCTACCTATCCCATACCCTTTCTGCTCCCCAGGGAGGGTGAGGCCTTCCATGGGGTAATCTTCAGAGTATGCCATATCCTTTGGGATAGGTACTTGTCTGAAAAAGACTTTATGGAAGATATTTTCGCTAAGGGTTGACATGGTCGATGGACTCCCTTTGTGCCCTAGCTTTCACCATTTTCAAGACATTAACTCCAATATCTTTTAGTTTCCATGGCCCCAGTCCTTGCTCTTCTCTTTTTAATTTGCTTCTTTGTTGTTGTTTTTAAGACAAAGTTTCATGTACTTCACACTGGCCTTCAACTCTTTGTTTAGCCAAGGATGTCTTTACCTTCTGATGTTTCTGCATCTACTAACCATGTACCAGGCACAGGTATGTGCCAAACATGCCTGGATTTATAAAGTGTCTCTCATATTAAGCAATCTGTTTCTACATGATTTTTAAAATTATAAATGTAACCAGCTTGAGGGGTTTACAGTTTTCTGGGTCCGTATTTTGATGTCACTCATCATTTGTGGAAAAATATTTTCTATTAAATCTTCAGGTGATTCTCCCATTTTCTTTCCCATCTAATAGTATTTTAAGTACATGTATGTTAGGGCCACTTCAAAGTGTTCTACAGCTTTGGGCACTTCGTGCTGTTTTCCCCCTTCTAGACTGAGTTTGCCTTTGGTCTCATAACAATGTCTTCCTTTTCCTCCTCCTTCTCTCATTTCCCCCGTTTAGTAATTTGAAAACCAGAAATCATAAATGAATCCATGTTCATTTGCCAGAGCTTTATTGAAGTCTGTTTGGTCCAATCCATAATTAACTTTGGGTCTCTCTGTTGCTATGCTTACATTCAGAGGACCAGCAGAGTGTCTTTGGTATTATTCCTGTGTTCAGGTTGGAGGCTGGTTTGCGGGGAAGCTTTTCGGTAATCTGTTCCATTTTTAGCTTTTTATACTTCAGGAAATATGTCTCTCCATATCCTGCCCTTTCCCAGCAGTGGGCCAATGTTACTCATTTCCAAGTGAGGTAGGTTGCTGTGTGTATATGGAGGGGTACCTGTTTTTCATCTCCAGCTCTGTCTACCCTGCATCAAAGAGGCAGAGCTTTGCGATGCTTAGTCCCAGGGACATCATTTCATTTCATGTTAAGAAGTTTCTTTTGTTGGTTGATATCCCCGGGGGTCCAGCCCTTTTCTGAAGGGAAGCATAGGAGGTGTGGATCTTAGGCAGAGGGAGAAGAGGAGGGACTGAGGTGGGAGGGGAAACTGTGGTTGGGATGTAATAAATGAGGAGAATTTAAAACAGTCTTTGTTTTGCTTCTTGTTTCCTATCTCGTCTCCAAGCTGCAGCATCCACTTTGCATGTTTTGTTAGAGGACTTGTGATCTCAGATTTCTAAGGGATTCATGAACATTTTTTTTATTCTTTTTTTTATTTGAA